TATGCACTGGTGAATTGTTTTTACTTTACAATAATTTTGTCAAGCACGAACGTCGTCAGATTCGTTTTTTTGTTGTCAAAAATAAATAATTCACACAACGGTGAGATGATTAACATAGGTCACCCGTTTGGCCCCAACGACACATTTAATAGGTTCATCAAATTGACCTAGGAATGATTTCCAGACAGTTTCGGATTCGAAAAGAAAATATTATTGTTTTTGATGACAGTTGTTTTATTTGTGTGTAATATTTAAAGCATGGCGGTCGTCGTGCAGTGCGTGTTTAAATTTCAGATAAACCATGCGTTTCACATCCAGTGGGCACATCGCTATGAGTCCCATATTGAACATAACGTGGTGTGATGACCACCAACCTTTAATATTTTGAATAATAATGATCTTATCAATATTCATGACTGTACAATCTAAATCTAATTAAATAAATGAATGAATTATACATTGTTGCAAAGCTCTGACATTTTATGATGGTTCTGCTGTCATTAACCGAACTATTCAAATTTATGATTGCATGTACCTTGGGTAGATTGTTTTTATGTTGAGGGCAAGGACAAAATAAATGTTTCTGATAACCCTACCTACTCGTGTTTGTAGTGGAACCAGTTCTTTCATTAGTTCCTCCTGTTCGGACAAAGTCAAGAAAATGAGGACTTGTGTTTTGACCTTGGTGCGTGTTCATTTCAATCATCAAAATCGAGTGTGTCTGCCAATTCAAAACAATCTAGGCTGTGTATAGATGTATTTTGTGCAAACTCAGTACAAACATCATGGGACCATGATGCATATTATTTTTTGTTTTTCAGAGCAGAATCAAAAATGACCAACTGGCAGCCATTTTATTTAAATGAATTGAAACTATATCTCTGACAACTTCGATCGATCATTTATATATAAATCGCACTGTTTCTTCAAACCCAGCATGTTTCATTGAACCCACCTTAAACCAGCCATGTTTCATTGAACCCACCTTAAACCAGCCATGTTTCATTGAATCCACCTTAAACCCAGCATGTTTCATCAACCCACCTTAAACTCAGCATGTTTCATCAACCCACCTTACACCCAGCATGTTTCATTGAACCCACCTTAAACCCAGCATGTTTCATTGAACCCACATTTCCTCAAACCCACTTTAAACCTGCCATGTTTCATCAAACCAACCTTAAACCTGTCATGTTTTCTCAAACCCACCTTAAATCTGCCATGTTTCCTCAAACCCATCTTAAATCTGCTATTTTTCATCAAACCCACTTTAAACACAGCATCTTTCATCGAACCCACTTTAAACCCAGCATGTTTCATCAAACCCTCCTTAAACCTGCCATGTTTCATCAAACCAACCTTAAACCCAGTGTGTTCCATTAAACCCACCCTAAACCCACCATATTTCCTTAAACCCACTTTAAACCTGCCATGTTTCATCAAACCCACCTTAAACCTGCCATGTTTCATCAAACCCACCTTAAACCTGCCATGTTTCATCATACTCACCTTAAATCTACCATGTTTCCC